TCAATCAATCAATCTATCCTTCTACTAGGATATATATATTATATATCTATATCTCATCGCTTACCCTTTGGAAACGCTGCTGGAGTCCCACTTGGAGTGAACAATGATTTTTTCGGGGGAAATGGCCACCGATCCGGACTCGCTGGCTGCGAGGTTGTATTTCCCAAGGTAAACCCGATAGGTGCGGGATGAACTGGAGAAAAAGTCAGAGATCATTCAGCATTATTATTATTATAATCATCATTATTTTTGTCATTATTATTATTATTATTATTATCCTCATTATTATCATTGTATAATTCATCCAACAACAAATATCTGGCCCTGGAACTCAACAAAAAAGCTCCTGTTTTGTAGAAGATTTCCTTGAGCGGTGATGGCGAAGTCATCAGCATAGATTAAACCCTCTGTTCCTCAAACCTTCTCCCTACCATTTCACGAACACTGGTGGAGTTGGGGGGAAATAGACTCTTGACATTCGGGAGTTGTAGTTGCTGGGATTTATAGTTCGCCTACAATCAAAGAGCATTCTGAACTCCACCAGTGATGGAATTGAACCAAACTTGGCACACAGAACAGCCATGTGGGCCACAGCAACGTGTGACAGGGGACGGCTAGTGATAAATTAATTAATTAATCCTCGTTACCTGATGCAATGGGCCGCCGTCATGACCCAGTTGTTGGCAATGAGCGTCCCTCCGCAGGTGTGCCGCCATGACCCGCTGGAGGAATACTGGAGAGACACCTGGAAGGACAGAAAAGGTACATCTCGGAAAATTCGCAATTTCGTATTTATTGCACCATCGCGCCGTTTCGTCAAAGAACTGCAATTTTAATTCCCCGATTTTTGCAACTCATCAATATTTTCCACATTCTCGGGATTATTGGGTCGTGGTCTCCGGCGAATGCCCGATTTACCTGCCAGGGCCAGCTGTTTTGCCGGGCATTGTCCCCTCCAACGACTCTGGACACGTTGGGTTTGTAGGTCGGGACACCACAACCGAAGGCTGCGAGAAAGAGAAGAGAATCCTATGGAATCCTATGGACCAACTTCGGCTCTTCCTCCAGGTGTTTTGGACTCCAACTCCCACAATTCCTAACATCTGGTAGGACAAGGACGGGCGGAATTTTGCTCCTATATATGAATGCTCTCTTTGTGGTGTGTTGGCCATCCTTCCCTTGGATCATAAATCAAAATTAGTATTTACTACAAGATTACTACTATTAGTAGTAATAGATTACTACTAGTAGTAATAGTAGTAATAGTAGTAATAGATTACAATTATTATAACTATTACTACTAGATTACTACTATTAGTAGTAATACATTACTACTGGTAGTAATAGTAGTAATAGATTACTACTATTATCACTATTATTGCTGTTACTATTGTTATGATTATTACTACTAGATATCATTATTTCTACATAGATTACTACTGATAGTAATAGTAGTAATAGATTGCTACTATTATCACTATTATTGCTGTTACTATTGTTATAATTATTACTACTAGGTATCATTATTACTACATAGATTACTACTGATAGTAATAGTAGTAATAGTAGTAATAATAATAGATTACTACTATCACTCTTATTGCTATTACTATTGTTATCATTATTACTACTAGATATCATTATTACTACATAGATTACTACTGATAGTAATAGTAGTAATAGATTACTACTATTATCACTATTATTGCTGTTACTATTGTTATCATTATTACTACTAGATATCATTATAACTACATAGATTACTACTGATAGTAATAGTAGTAATAGATTACTACTATTATCACTATTATTGCTGTTACTATTGTTATCATTATTACTACTAGATATCATTATTACTACATAGATTACTACTGATAGTAATAGTAGTAATAGATTACTACTATTATCACTATTATTGCTGTTACTATTGTTATCATTATCACTGCTGTTATCACTATTAATACCATTATTACTACCATTAAACCACTTTGAGTCCACCCAGGGGTGAGAAAGGCAATATATAAATACTGTAAATAAATAAATAATAAATAAATTACTATTATTACTTTTGTTACTACTATTACTACGATTAATGGTACCATAATTACTGCTATTATTACTATTACTACTATTACCACTGCTATTATTGCTACCATTACTACTGCTATCGCTATCGCCATTACCACTATTACTACTATTGTTACTATTACTATTATTACTTTATCACTACTGTTGTTACTACTATTACTATGATTAGTAGTAATAGTGGTAATAGTGATAGTGATAATAATGGTAATGGTAGCAATAACAGCAGTAGTAATAATAACGGTAATAGTGGTATTTATTTATTTGATGCATTTGTTGACCGCCGCTCTCAGCCCTAGGGCGACTCGCGGCGGTGTACAACATATAAAATTTTTTTACAAAAAACACACAGTACATCAACAAGCCATAATTACACAATTAATCTAAATTATACTAACTAATCCGCACCGTCACAACATAGGAGCCTACCAGTCTCATAATCCATATTCCATTCCGATTGTCATTATCAGTTAGTCTGGCACTAGTTAAATGCCCTCTCGAAGAGCCAGGTCTTTAGGCTCTTCCGGAAAGCCATAAGAGAGGGCGCCTGTCTGATGTCAACAGGGAGGGTGTTCCACAGCCGGGGGGCCACCACTGAGAAGGCCCTCTCTCTCGTCCCCGCCAGACGTGCCTGTGAGGCAGGCGAGATCGAGAGAAGGGCCTCCCCAGACGATCTCAAGGCCCTCGTGGGCTCATAGGCCGAGATGCGGTCCGAAAGGTATTTTGGGCCGGAACCGTTTAGGGCTTTGTAGGATAACACCAGCACCTTAAATTGGGCCCGGTAGCAGATCGGCAGCCAGTGGAGCTGGGACAACAAGGGCGTTGTATGCTCCCTGCGTCCCGCTCCCGTTAGTAACATGGCTGCCGCGCGCTGGACTAGCTGAAGCTTCCGGGCCGTCTTCAAGGGCAGCCCCACGTAGAGAGCGTTGCAGTAGTCGAGGCGGGATGTGACCAAAGCGTGTACCACCGTGGCCAAGTCAGACTTCCCAAGATACGGGCGCAGCTGGCGCACGAGCCGAAGCTGTGCAAATGCTCCCCTGGTCACCGCTGAAACCTGGGGATCCAGGCTCAAGGATGAATCCAGGGTCACACCCAAGCTGCGAACCTGCGCCTTCAAGGGGAGTGCGACCCCGTCCAGCACAGGCTGTAACCCTATACCCTGTTCGGCCTTGCGACTGACCAGGAGTACCTCTGTCTTGTCTGGGTTTAATTTCAATTTGTTCGCCCTCATCCAGACCATTACAGCGGCCAGGCACCGGTTCAGGACCTCGACAGCCTCCTTAGTAGCAGGTGGAAAGGAGTGACAGAGTTGGACATCATCTGCGTACAGATGACACCGCACCCCGAAACTCCGGATGATCTCACCCAGCGGCTTCATGTAGATATTAAACAGCATGGGGGACAGTATAGAACCCTGTGGAACCCCACAGGTCAAAGGCTGTGGTGTTGAACAGGAGTCCCCCAATAACACCTTCTGGGTACGACCCTCCAGAAATGACTGGAGCCACTGCAGAGCAGTGCCCCCAAGACCCATTTCCGCAAGGCGCCCCAGAAGGATACCGTGGTCGACGGTATCGAAGGCCGCTGAGAGGTCCAGGAGCACCAACAGGGACACACTCCCCCTGTCTAGCTCCCGGCGGAGATCATCCACTAAGGCGACCAAGACCGTCTCGGTACCATGTCCCGGTCTGAAACCAGACTGTGCCGGATCCAGAATATCCGTGTCTCTCAAGAATACCTGGAGTTGTGAGGCCACCACGCTTTCCATGACTTTGCCCAAAAAGGGGAGATTGGAAACAGGCCGAAAGTTGTCCAATTTAGTGGGGTCCAGTGATGGTTTCTTCAACAGCGGTTTTATAATTGCTTGTTTTAAGCACGCTGGAATCTTGCCTTCCCGAAGGGAGGCATTCACCACCACTGTTACCCACTCAGCCAATCCCCCTCTGGCCTCCTTCAGAAGCCAGGATGGGCAGGGGTCTAGGATGGACGTGGTGGGCCTCATTCCTCCAAGTATCTTGTCCACATCCTCGGGCTTCACCAATTGAAATGAATCCATCAAAATAGGACAAGCAGGTGCTCTTGTTACATCCACAGAGACTGCATTTAACATGGCGTCCAGACCAGAACGGATCAAAGCGACTTTGTCTGCAAAGAACCGAGCAAATGCTTCACAGCGCGTGACCGAATTGTCAGGGCTCCCGCCTGAGGTGGCGGGAGTTAAAAGACCTCTGACAATCCGAAACAACTCCGCCGGACGGTTTTTTGCAGACGCAATAGTGGCCGCAAAGAAAGTTTTCTTTGCGGCTTTTATTGCCGCGGCATATGCCCTTAAAAAGGACACAAACCGTGCTCGATTTGATTCGCTTGGGTCCGAACGCCACACGCTCTCTAGTTCCCTCTTCCTTCGCTTCATCACTGCCAGCTCCTCAGTAAACCAAGGGGCTGGTTTAGCTCGGCTACTTGAGAGGGGACGTTCCGGAGCGATCATGTCAATTGCCCTGGCCATCTCCCCATTCCAGAGAGCGACCAAGGCCTCGACATGGTCACCTACCGAGGAGGCGGGAAAATCCCCAAGAGCCGTCAGGAATCCATTCGGATCCATAAGCCTCCTGGGGCGGACCATCTTAATGGGTCCTCCACCTTTGCGGAGGTTAGGGGGTGCAGTGAGCCTAAATCTGATCAGGAAGTGGTCAGTCCATGGCAACGGAGAGGTAGACAACTCCTCCACACCGCCACCCTGCTCCCATCCCTGGCAGAAAACCAAGTCCAATGTGTGTCCAGCACAATGGGTGGGGCCAGATATTTGTTGGGACAGCCCCATGGTTGCCATGGCAGACATGAAGTCCTGAGCCGCTCCTGTGAGGGTCGCCTCGGCATGGATATTGAAGTCTCCCAGCACCAAAAGCCGTTGAGACTCCAACGCCAGGCTCGAGACCACCCCCGCTAGCTCAGGTAGGGAGACTGTAGTGCAGCGAGGTGGACGGTACACTAGCAGAATCCCTATTCTGTCCCGGTCACCCACCCTCAGGTGGACACATTCAAAATTTGTGGTCTGTGGGATGGGGCTCCTGGTCAGATGGATGGAATCTCTATAGACCACTGCAACCCCGCCTCCCCGTCCTCCGGATCTCGGTTGGTGCTGTACGGAGAACCCTGGGGGACAAAGCTGGGTCAGATTCACCCCCCCAGCTTCATCCAAGCCAGGTCTCCGTAATGCACGCCAGATCTGCCCGCTCATCCAGGATTAAATCCTGGATAAAGGTCGTTTTTCCGTTGACAGATCTGGCGTTCAGCAGCACCACCTTCAATCCAGAGGGCCCGCTCACCTGGTTACACCAATTTACCTTAGGAGACCGATTTGGGATTATTAATGTTGATAAGTGGTCCGAATTAGGCCGAATTCGAGGTCTCCTTTTTCCGCATCTCCTCCTTGGTACCATTGATATAGTAATAACATAACCATTACCACTATTGCTACTATTGCCTTTATTGCCATTACCACCATTAATATCACTCCTATTACTACCATGATTACCACTATCATTACATCACTATTGCTATTACGAATATCATTAGTATTACCACTAATGTTATTACTACTATGAGCACTATTACTGCTACCACTATCTCTGTACTATTACTATTACTACTTCCACTATTACTGCTATTACCACTATCACAATTGCTATTACAGCTGTTACTATTACCATTATTATTAAATCACTATGTATTACCGCTACTGTCATTACTACTATGATCACTATTACTGCTACCACTACTTCTGTACTATTACTATTACTACTTCCACTATTACTGCTATTACCACTATCACAATTGCTATTACAGCTGTTACTATTACCACTTTTATTACATCACTATGTATTACCGCTACAGTTATTACTACTATGAGCACTATTACTGCTACCACTACTTCTGTACTATCACTATTACTACTTCCACTATTACTGCTATTAACACTATCACAATTGCTATTACAGCTGTTACTATTACCACTATGTATTACCGCTACAGTTATTACTACTATGAGCACTATTACTGCTACCACTACTTCTGTACTATCACTATTACTACTTCCACTATTACTGCTATTAACACTATCACAATTGCTATTACAGCTGTTACTATTACCACTATGTATTACCACTACTGTTATTACTACTATGAGCACTATTGCTGCTACCACTACTTCTGTACTATTACTATTACTACTTCCACTATTACTGCTATTACCACTACCACAATTGCTATTACAGCTGTTACTATTACTACTAGCACTACTATTGCTATCACTATTGTTGCTAGTAGTATTACTACTAGCACTATTAATATGGGGACCTGGCACCTCTCTTGAACCAAAGTCCTTCAGAAATCCATCAAAAGAACTCAGTTATTAGTATTAGCCTTTGAAGATGCCCAACGTGGGCCGTCTACCGAGAAACGTGGTGCCCCCCATTATTTACCCGCAGAGGCCAGCGCCAGGACGGTTAAGAGGATGGCGATCATGGCTGGAAGTGGTGGTTACGATGGAAAAGTCGGGTTGTGAGTGGAGCCCTTATATCCGAGGAGAGCAGATCACGGGGGCCAGATACGGCCAGGGGGAAGGTGCTGAGATATCTCTCTCAAGGTCCAAGGTCTCACCAGGTGCTCCGTTTCTCACCTGGAAAGACCTGGCTGCTCCAAACACCTACTCAACGTTCAGGGGCGGCTCAACCCATACGCAAAGTAAGCCATTGCGGTAGACTTGATGTTGCCCAGGGGTGCTCTTGGGGGAAAATAGACCTTGACATATGCGAGTTGTAGTTACTGGGATGTATAGTATAGTCTGGTTGCTGCTCGTTGGACTAATTGGACGCAGGAGAGGAGTAGTATGCTCCCTGTACCTTGTTCCTGTTAGTAGTCTGGCTGCCGCTCGTTGGACTAATTGGACACAGAGAGGAGTAGTATGCTCCCTGTACCCCGCTCCTGTTAGTAGTCTGGCTGCCGCTCGTTGGACTAATTGGACGCAGGAGAGGAGTAGCATGCTCCCTGTACCCCGCTCCTGTTAGTAGTCTGGCTGCCGCTCGTTGGACTAATTGGACGCAGGAGAGGAGTAGCATGCTCCCTGTACCCCGCTCCTGTTAGTAGTCTGGCTGCCGCTCGTTGGACTAATTGGACGCAGGAGAGGAGTAGCATGCTCCCTGTACCCCGCTCCTGTTAGTAGTCTGGCTGCCGCTCTTTGGACTAATTGGACGCAGAAGAGGAGTAGTATGCTCCCTGTACCCCGTTCCTGTTAGTAGTCTGGCTGCCGCTCGTTGGACTAATTGGACGCAGGAGAGGAGTAGCATGCTCCCTGTACCCCGCTCCTGTTAGTAGTCTGGCTGCCGGTCGTTGGACTAATTAGACGCAGGAGAGGAGTAGTATGCTCCCTGTACCCCGCTCCTGTTAGTAGTCTGGCTGCTGGTCGTTGGACTAATTAGACGCAGGAGAGGAGTAGTATGCTCTCTGTACCCCGCTCCTGTTAGTAGTCTGGCTGCCGCTCGTTGAACTAATTGGATGCAGGAGAGGAGTAGTATGCTCCCTGTACCCCGCTCCTGTTAGTAGTCTGGCTGCCGCTCGTTGGACTAGTTGTAGCTTCTGGGCAGTCTTCAGAGGCAACCCCACGTAGAGAGTGTTGCAGTAGTCTATACGGGATGTAACCAGAGCGTGGACCCAGGGGTGGCTCAACCCATACGCAAAGTAAGCCATTGCGGTAGAGTTGATGTTGCCCAGGGGCACTCTTGAGGCACTCTTGGGGGAAAATAGACCTTGACATATGCGAGTTGTAGTTACTGGGATGTATAGTTCACCTCCAATCAAAGAGCATTCTGAACTCCACCAATGATGGAATTGGCTTGCATCCCCAGGGGCGGCAAAGCCATTACGCAAAGTAAGCCATTGCGGTAGAGTTGATGTTGCCAGGGGCGCTCTTGGGAGAAAACAGACCTTGACATATGCAAGTTGTAGTTACTGAGATGTATAGTTCACCTACAATCAAAGAGCATGCTGAACTCCACCAATGATGGAATTGGCTTGCATCCCCAGGGGCGGCGAACCCATTACGCAAAGTAAGCAGTCGCAGTAGAGTTGATTTCACCAGGGGTGCTCTTGGGGGAACATAGAGCTTGACATATGCGAGTTGTAGTTACTGGGATGTATAGTTCACCTACAATCAAAGAGCATTCTGAACTCCACCAATGATGGAATTGAACCAAATATGGCACACAGAACTCCCACGACGAACAGAAAATATAGATCAGTGATTGGTTGGGGGGGGGGCACCAAAATACTGTTTGCTTACCGTTGAAAATTACCTAGGGCCACCTCTGTCAACGTGTCTTGGCGCCCACAGAGCTCACCTGCGGTGGAAGGAGCCACAAATGTTCCTTCCATTGACTTTGCGTGCCCAGAAGGATCCGTGCCAAGCTTGGAGCGAGCAGAGGCGGCCCTAGGTAATTTTCAATGGTAAGCAAACAGTATTTTGCCCCCCCCCCCCCCCAACCAATCACTGATATATATTTTCTGTTCATCGTGGGAGTTCTGTGTGCCATATTTGGTTCAATTCCATCATTGGTGGAGTTCAGAATGCTCTTTGATTGTAGGAGAACTAGACATCCCCGTAACTACAACTCACATATGTCAAGGTCTATTTTCCCCCAAGAGCGCCTCAAGAGCGCCCCTGGCGAAATCAACTCTACCGCGATGGCTTACTTTGCGTAATGGCTTCGCCGCCCCTGGGGATGCAAACCAATTCCATCATTGGTGGAGTTCAGCATGCTCTTTGATTGTAGATGAACTATGCATCCCAGTAACTACAACTCGCATATGTCAAGGTCTATTTTCCCCCAAGAGCGCCTCAAGAGCACCCCTGGCGAAATCAACTCTACCGCGATGGCTTACTTTGCGTAATGGCTTCGCCGCCCCTGGGGATGCAAACCAATTCCATCATTGGTGGAGTTCAGCATGCTCTTTGATTGTAGATGAACTATGCATCCCAGTAACTACAACTCGCATATGTCAAGGTCTATTTCCCCCCAAGAGCATCTCAAGAGCACCCCTGGTGAAATCAACTCTACCGCGATGGCTTACTTTGCGTAATGGCTTCGCCGCCCCTGGGGATGCAAGCCAATTCCATCATTGGTGGAGTTCAGCATGCTCTTTGATTGTAGATGAACTATGCATCCCAGTAACTACAACTCACATATGTCAAGGTCTATTTCCCCCCAAGAGCATCTCAAGAGCACCCCTGGTGAAATCAACTCTACCGCGAAGGCTTACTTTGCGTAATGGCTTCGCCGCCCCTGGGGATGCAAGCCAATTCCATCATTGGTGGAGTTCAGCATGCTCTTTGATTGTAGATGAACTATGCATCCCAGTAACTACAACTCACATATGTCAAAAGTCTATTTTCCCCCAAGAGCATCTCAAGAGCGCCCCTGGCGAAATCAACTCTACCGCGAAGGCTTACTTTGCATAATGGCTTCGCCGCCCCTGGGGATGCAAGCCAATTTCATCATTGGTGGAGTTCAGCATGCTCTTTGATTGTAGATGAACTATGCATCCCAGTAACTACAACTCGCATATGTCAAGGTCTATTTCCCCCCAAGAGCATCTCAAGAGCACCCCTGGTGAAATCAACTCTACCGCGATGGCTTACTTTGCGTAATGGCTTCGCCGCCCCTGGGGATGCAAGCCAATTCCATCATTGGTGGAGTTCAGCATGCTCTTTGATTGTAGGTGAACTATACATCCCAGTAACTACAACTCGCATATGTCAAGGTCTATTTCCCCCCAAGAGCACCTCAAGAGCGCCCCTGGTGAAATCAACTCTACCGCGAAGGCTTACTTTGCGTAATGGCTTCGCCGCCCCTGGGGATGCAAGCCAATTTCATCATTGGTGGAGTTCAGCATGCTCTTTGATTGTAGATGAACTATGCATCCCAGTAACTACAACTCACATACGTCAAAAGTCTATTTTCCCCCAAGAGCGCCCCTGGGCAACATCAACTCTACCGCGATGGCTTACTTTGCGTAATGGTTGAGCCGCCCCTGGGAGCGAGGGAAGGCAACACATGGTGGAAAGCCAACTCTCCTAATCGATGTGGAGACCTTGCAAGAACCTGAGAGCAAGGACGGGGTTGCCATTGCCCTGGGATCCCCACAGGTGGCTCATTGTATGGGTCATATATAAACATACACACACACACATACACACATAATACACACATGTATATGTGCATGTGCATATACATTTACCTGTGTACATGTGTGTGTATATATGTGTGTGTGTTTGTAAGTATATATCTGTGTATGTGCATGCATGTATATGTGTATGTATATATGCATGTGTGCATGTAGATATGTATATATATCTGTGTGTGTGTGTTTGTATATATATAAATGTGAGTCTGTGTGTATGTATGTATATTTGTATGTGCATGTATATGTGTGTGTGTTTGTACATATATATATGTGAGTCTGTGTGTATGTATGTATATATGTGTATGTGCATGTATATGTGTGTATATATATGTGTGTTTGTGTGTGTACGTATGTGTGTATATGTGTGTGTGTGTTTGTATATATATATGTGTGTGTATGTATGTATATGTGTGTATATGTGTGTATATATATGTGTGTGAGTTTGTATATATATGTGTGAGTCTGTGCGTATGTATGTATATGTGTATGTGCATGTATATGTGTGTGTACATATGTGTGAAGATATATATGTGCATGTATATATGTGTATATATCTGCGTGTGTGTGTTTGTACATATATATGTGAGTCTGTGTGTATGTATATGTGTATGTGCATGTATGTGTGTCTATATATGTGTGTGTGTATGTATATTTATGTGTGTGTATATATCTGCATGTGTATATATATTGTGTGTCTATGTGTGTATATATGTGTGTGTATACATCTCTCATGTGCGTGTGGATGTGTGTGTATATATGTGTTAATATATGTGTGTTTCTGTGTATATATGTCTGTATGTGTGTATATATATGTGTATATACATGTGTGTGTATGAAGGGAAAGAAAGGAAAGGAGAAGTAATGGAAGGAGCAGATGGAAAATGGAGAGATTGTGTTAGTGGGCCTTCTCAGAGCTGGAGAAAGGAGAAAGTAAGAAGGAAGGAAGGAAGGAAGGAAGAAAGGAAGGAGAAAAAGAAGGGAAAGAAAGAAAAGGGAAGGAGCAGATGGAAAATGGAGAGATTGTGTCGTGGGCCTTCTCAGAGCTGGAGAAAGGAGAAAGTAAGAAGGAAGGAAGGAAGGAAGGAAGGAAGGAAGGAAGGAAAGGAAGGAAGGAGAAAAAGAAGGGAAAGAAAGAAAAGGGAAGGAGCAGATGGAAAATGGAGAGATTGTGTCGTGGGCCTTCTCAGAGCTGGAGAAAGGAGAAAGTAAGAAGGAAGAGGAAGGAAGGAAGGAAGGAAGGAAGGAAGGAAGGAGAAAAAGAAGGGAAAGAAAGAAAAGGGAAGGAGCAGATGGAAAATGGAGAGATTGTG